GTTGCACCTCCGAAGTACAATTGCCCCTGCCTTGGGCCGCCACCGGCGCTGTCCCCGCGGTTGGTATCGTGGCCCCCATTTTGACAAACCCGTCGTAGGTGCCCAACACTAGTGCTCGCTAGTCTGCGCTCCCCTCCCGCGCTCCGCGTCCTCTTGCCTCTACCGCCGCCCCTGACGCCACCAGGTCTCCCGCGCATAGCGCCGCTCCCGTGCCCCGCGCTCATATTCCCGTGAGCTAGTGCATGCACCGCACTCTCCCCGCTCACCTCCGTCGCCTTCGCTTCGACCGCAGCTGCGTCCCGCTCTGCCGCCTAGAGCGATGTGGCAAGCTTTACTGCGATAGAATAGGACAGCGAGTCGTCTTCCGCGAAGAGACGTTGACGGATGACGTCACTGACGAGTCCGCACACAAATTGATCTCGAAGGTTCTCATTAAGATTTGTCTCAAATTTGCAATGTCTAGCAAGCTTTTTTAATTCCGCTACGTAGCTTGCGATATTTTCGTTACTTGACTGCCTTCGTTGACGAAATCTGAATCTTTCGGCGAGTGCTGACAGCGCTGGTTCCAAATGGTTTTTCATCAATTCCACCACCTTAGAAAACGTCAATTCCGCTGGTTTCTTGGGACTTGCTAAATTTACCAGCAAGTCATATGCTTCATCCCCAATTCCCGCAATGAGTGTTGGTAGCCGCATACCGTCTTCAACTTTGTTCACCTTAAAGTACATTTCTAGTCTTTCAATATAAGATGACCAACTTCCGCTTTTCACATCAAACTCGCGTACGTGTCCGATCGACATTTTTACTATTCCGATCACAATTCACAATATAATAAATCACACGCGTCCAAAATGGCCAGCCTCGTTAGCCAATTTAGTGTTTTAGGCGGGAACTGGTAAGTAAAATTGCACACGTCCAGCGATAGTAGGCGTTTATTCACGACTGCTTTGACACACGAGTAGAAACGTCTATATCAAAATATTAAGTTCTACTACCTACATTATACTTTCTTAAAGAACTAGAGCCTCCCCAAACCAGGATTCAGTAGTTAATAACATTTGGGCACAGAGCACGATAAACCATCTTTAAGGCTCTTCCATCCACAGGATCACGAAGATTTTTCATAACGATAACTATCTTCCTCACTTTCTTGCACATTTGAGCTATGTATATTTTAAAAGTAAGCTTGTCATCTATTAATTCACCTAGATATTTTATAAACTCTGAGCGTTTGATATGATTGTAATTGCATTTATCAGTGAGTGCACAGGAAGGTGTTCGATTATGTATCTTAATTACATCCAAAGATATGCAAAAATGGGGCAAATGCAGCAATTTTGTGAAATCATATGAACCGCATTTTAGAATTATTTATGGATAGTAAATTATCATTTAACCATGTCGAAACTAAGCTCATGAGCTTGCAAGAAGGTGGCATGGCCACCTTCTTTCCTTCGACACACATCATTCCAAGTAAGGCCAGATAAAAATAATAGCAGTATCATCATCATAACACAGAATTTCCGCGCCCTGAAGACCAAGGTATGCAATATCATTTATATACAGCAAGAACAGGCAAAGTCCCAGAATGCTTCCCTGTAGAATGGAACCCCGAAGGTCACAGGTATCAGACTACTTCTCTGACCAGAGACTTTGACGCATTGCTGTCTACCCATCAAATAGTCAGCAAATGAAGTCAAAATATATTTATTCAAATTGGATGCATAATACCACTCTTTTGAATCGTCCATATTTTTTTCCCCTACCACCAGTTAAGGGCCTTTTTTTAGCTGTGGAGAAAAACTGGCGAAAAAAACTTCACAGCGTTAAATAATTATGTTACAATATTCACAAAAAATTCTATTGTTACGGTGTCAATACATAATCATTTCATTTTCATCATAATAATAGAAAAAGCCTGCCGGAACGTTTGGCACAGTTTAAACCCAAGCATTTTTGTCTGAAATATAATCAGACACTTTATAATAGGCTTTATGAATAAGAATTTATTATGGAAGTTTTAAATTTATTGATGCTAAATTTTTAGATATTACTAGGGACTTTATTGTAGAAGCGTACACAAAGACCTTTAAATGAATTATTGATTTTGTGGAGCCTTGTAATTGGTACAGCTAATTTATTTTTATTTCTAGTATTAAGTGAGTGTTTATCACTATTTAGAGGAAACAATGTAGTATTTTTTCTAACATACATTAAATTTTCGTAAATGTACTTTACTTTGAGAAGCAACAGTCATTATATCGATTTCTTTAATTTTTTCTCTTAAAGAGTCTCTAGTCATAAGATTGTAAATTAATCGAACAGCCCGAAGCGGGCAGCACAAAAATAGTTTTAATGTCGGCAGAATTTCATCATCACACTATGAAAATAACTAAAATAATCTAATCGAGCAGTATCTACGTCAGTAAGTTGGCGTATCTTCGTTACTGCGTAGGCTGCAGAGCTCAGCCTCTTCGACAATTTCTCAATATGTGGGCCCCACTGAAGCTTCGAATCTAGTGTAATGCCTAAGAATACTGTAGCCACAGCCACAGCCAATCGGCCACATGTAAGCGAATTGGGATTAACTTGAATAATCGCAGCAAGAAAGAAATCTAAACTTGGGCTAAGAATATTTAAAGTTCCAAAGATAAACTTTGAGGCCAATGACTACACTGATATGATTTTATGGAGTGAGTCACAAGTAACATCACCTCCAATGCTAAAAGATATCAGTGTCAACGAACTGGAAGACGTGGTGGCATCAAACTCCAATATTACATTGGAGTTGTCGGATTATCCTTGTCACACACAAGCAGCAGAGCGATGTCTCAAAATGATGATCTCTGAAGCATCAATTAGTGTAGTTGGCGAAAAAGCCAGAGATGCATTTACTCGTTCTAAAATAAAATCCCGCACAATTATGCCATATTTTAAAACAAAAAAAGATTTTAAGATACTAAAAAAATTGTACGATAGATTTTTTACGATTTTGACACATTTTTCTTTCAATTTTATATCTCAAATCTCATGATTTTTTTCTGAATAAATATTATAATTTATAAAATGCATTTTTTTTGTTACCTTTACGATAAAATATAATACTTTTTTGATTGTTATTATTTACTTTTTTTTTTTGTTTTTTTAATGTTCTGTCATGTGATTTCCATGTGACGGAGGATCTCCCCGACATCAAACTAAAGGAGATCGAGGCGGCTCTTGGGCAACTTAAAAATGGGAAAGCCCCGGTGGGAGGACGGAGTCACAACCGAGCTTCTGAAAGCTGCCGGTAAGCCGGTGCTGAAGGAGCTCCGGCGTATATTTAACTCTGTTCTCTTCTCCTTTAGAACTCCAAGGGCATGGCACCGGAGCTTAGTTATATTGTTCTTCAAAAAGACGACAAGGCCTTTGCTGAAGAATTATCGACTAATTTCACTCCTAGGCCATGTCTATAAGTTGTTTTTAAGAGTCATTTCGAATCGCCTTGCACGAAGACTTGACGAAGCTCCACCTGCAGAGCAAGCTGGGTTCCGATGGGGTTATGGCATCATAGACCACATTTACACAGTGAGACAGGTTATACAGAAGACCAAAGAGTATAAACAGCCCCTGTGTCTGGCGTTTGTGGACCATGAGATAGCTTTTGGAGCCGGAAAGTTCTTGAGTGGAGACCTCGACTCGGTAAACGTAGTGTAGGACGCCCTGAGACAAGATGGGATGATGATATTCATAGACTGGAGTGGGCTGGATGTGAGTGGCTGAAAATTGGGAGCAGTGGCGTGCTTTAGGTGAGACCTATATCCAGCAGTAGACGAGCTTGGGTTGATGATGAGATGAATGTTCTATGCATGTTTAATGATTTACCTAATTTAATAAAATGATTGCAACTTTGAGCTTAGGCTAAAAAATATGTTAAAAAAAAACTAGATTTATATATAATTTTGCCAAATGCTACTTTTTGCAGATATTCAAAATCAATTCCATGACTTTTTTTTCTCCATACATTGACCACTCCACCCTAATGTACATTTTTGAGCTTTGTGTGTTTGCCTAAACTAACCCCGAGTTAATTAAAAAAGAAAAAAGACTACTTTAGTTTTAACACTAGATACCCTAATGCCCTAGTTCTTCCTCAAAAAACTACGGCTCTGTACCATAGAAATGCGTATTGTATGACTATCTTTATATATATAATTCTTCTGTGAGTGTGTATGTCACTGAACTTCTCTTAAACGACTGGACCGATTTTGATGAAATTTTTTGTGTGTGTTCAAGGGGATCTGAGAATGGTTTAGATTCACAATTTTGTCCGCTGGACAACCCCTATTTTTTTAGGGCGGTACGAAATTCGCTGGGTCAGCTAGTATGTATATAAAATAGTTTGCCGGATGATCTCAAGATATTGCATTTAAATACGTTCAAGAGGAAACTTAAAACATGGTTGATTGGGAACTGATTTTATTCTGTTGAGGAGTTTATTGTTTATGTAAAAGACGTCAGTAATCTACATTTTTTTACCCCTTTTGGTTGGACGGATTATCGATAGTGCACTGTTACTTTTAGATATTTGTAAAATTTGTATGCCAGTTTCTGGTGAATTGTGCGTGTCTCAACAAATAATGTAACACCTTTTGTACTACTTTTTTTGCAAATAAATAAAAACTGTGAAATAAAAAAGGTAAATTTAAAAAACCAAAAAACCCGACTTCTTAAATATTACTTCAACAAAATCTGAAAAGAAGGAAACAAGCCCAGTAGTCTATAATTCTGTTAAGTAAGGAACAAAGGTACTTTAACAGTCGGGACCCATTATAGAAAAAAAATATCCATTCTAAAATATCTAATGGATCTCGACTGTTAAAATAGCTTTGTTCCTTACTTAAAAGAATTTATAGACTACTGGAATTGTTTCTTTTTTTTTCAGATTTTGTTGTAGTAATATTAAAAGAGTCGGGTTTTTTGATTTTTAAATTTTTGGTATTTGATATGGTCACACCAGTGTCACGAGTCAAGCACTCGGTATAAATATTCCTGTAGCTGTAGCGTGTATTGGTCATAACATATAGTTATGACCAACGACGGTGGTATAACAATGGACGTCCATATTACAGTTTTTATTTGTTTAATTTGTGCATATTGCATTTTCGCCCAAGAATTATCATGTGAGTAAATACACACATAATCATTAAGTAAACATACACTTTATTTAACTTTTGCCTAAGGATAACGCGTTTTAAATTAGTTATTTAAATCACAATTATAGTAAGTACATTATTACATACATATTTAAATTAAATTATACTTACGTACGGTTTGTAAGTGCGGCTCTTATATTTATGTCTTACTGTTACTAATGTTATACACAGTAACTACGCTTACTGCGGTTATAAATAGTGATTATGGGATTTGCAGCAGCTATCCATAGGTACTGCAGTTATTAGAGTGAAATATTTTTTTTCCGAATTATCAGTGTAAATTATTTATGATGTCAGTAGCAACTTTGCATACTGCAGTCAAAAATTTCATTCTTTGTATAATTATTAAAATAAAAAATAGGATATTTGATTTTATCCTCATAAAAGATAAAATATATTATTCAAAGAATAACTGCTAGTTTTGTATTAATTTTATAGGAAATTTTAGAAGCTCCAAGCTCTTTTTTTTGCATACTTTACATAGAACTGAATTAGGTATAAATATAGGTACCGACATATTGAATAAAAATGATCTAAGATTATGTTTATAATATTTTTCACTAGTATCTAAGACTTATTCGTTGCTGATATTGATTGTGCAATTCCAATATAAAAATGTAAATAAATCAGATTTTTTACCGTAAAAGTTGAAGAACTAGTTAACCACTAAACCGATTTCGATCAAACATAGCCAAGAACATTCCCCTTCCACCAAGTCACCTTCAAACAAAAAACCTGAATCGAAATCTGTTTATCCGCTTGGGACCTATAGCTCCACATAATGATACCAAAACATATACAAAAATATATAATTAAAAAAATAAATATATATTTGTGTATCTGGGATTAAAATGAACTTAGGTATTTAAGTATATTTTCAACATAATTAAAAAATAGGAAACTTGTTGCTTTTGTGTTATTGTTTAAGTTTTAAAGACATAAGCTCCAATAAGCCTTTAGTTTAACTCGATAAAACTAAAATAATAGTACTTTATGATCACAGAATACATTTGCCATTTTTTTTACCCGACTGTGCAATGCAAGAGCGCGAAACGCGACGCGCAGATTGGGTATAGTGTTTACCAGTCTATATATGTATGTATGTTCTTTGTGGCACACTAGAGACCAAACGCGTGGACTGATTTTGATTATTCGTCTTAATGGTGGTAGTGCTACTAAAGATATGAATAGTAATCGAAATTCAATATGGGAACAACTAGGTGCGATATTGTGACAAAGTAAAAAAATAAGTTGCCAAAATATGTCGAGTTGGGTATCATTGTCTAGATAATCGAAAATCATATATAGGTTCCTTACACCATTTTTCATTTTATATGAAACAGTCATGTTCCCATATTGAATTTCGAGTTTGGTTAGGATCTACACCGATTTAAAGTTGCATATCAACCACTTGCGATTTTAATTTCAATCTTACGTTTGTATGGATCTTTGTTACTCTTTCACTCAAAAAATACTAAATGGATTTTAATGAAACAACAATAATATAGCTTATACATAATAATAACATATAGATAATAGTTTATGGAGTTTTTGAGTGAATTGGCCAAAATATAACAATAAGTGTCACGTAAGACGGAAAAAATCTCCCATCTGCGAGCCATTTTGGCCAGCACTGCAAAAACAATAAAAGTTACATGAATATAATGTATAGTGTAAATATATCTTTTAAATAGTGCTACAAAAAAGTTCGCGACAGCATATATCTATTTTTAATGAGTAAGCCATTATCGCTAAAATAGTGAATCAAATATAAAGTATTATTTGATATCCATTACCAAAATGCACATCATGTATTATGTATGTATTAATAAATATTTTTTTATCAAAACAAATATGGAGGAATTTTTTTTTTTTGTGGGTAGGTGTGAAATAAAAACACCTGTTTAAGAGCTTAAAAATTAGATTTTATTAAAAACATATTCTAAGTTGAGCAAATTTCTTAATATTTATGGGAAGTGAATAAGTTACTTACAATACCTGCCGGTGAGTGTTATCTACAGTTTCTCTCTACAACTTCACTTTTTGTGACACCTTTCACTCCGCACTACTCACTACTTCAACGAAACATGGAAGCCTTGCAGGAATCTATATCCAAACTTCAACATATGTTCACTCAGCGCATGGATGCATATCAGGGTGAATTGCAGGCAGCTGCCCCATCAGCTAACATCAACAGCTTGAAGGATGATTTCGTGGCTTTCCGTTCATTTATAATGACTGCACTTCAAAGCCTGCAGCAGCAGCTCAACTTGTTTGCATCTCAAATTGACACAATTGAGATGCGGAGTCGACGGAAGATGTTGCTGTGTCATGGTGTAGCAGAGGAGAAGAGCGAAGATACAGCTGAGGTGGTTGTCAGGGTTGTCAATCAGATGAAAATGTCTGGTTTCAATGTTAAGGACATTAGCCGTAGTCATCGCATGGGTCGTACACCTGGTACTGACAAACCACGTCCCATTTTGTTTGAGGTGCGTGACTACGCAGTTCGAGATAAAATTTGGTATGCCAAGAAGTCGTTGAAAGGTTCTGGTGTAACAATCTCGGAGTTTCTTACAAAGACTCGACATGAAGCGTTTATGGCAGCCCGTGCAACTTTTGGTATTGGCAAGTGTTTCACTCAAAATGGGACAGTAATTGTTATTGGTGCTGATGGCAAGCGAGCTCGCATTACTTCTACGGCCGAACTAGGAAAAGTTCCCGTACCGAATGTGCACTCTGTTGAACCAGAAAAAAATCCTGTGCCTGGTGTGCAGAATACTGGTACTTCTAAGGAACCCACGGTGGCGACAAGAGGTAAACGGACAGCCGCAGTATCCAAGAAGTAGCAATGTTAGTACTTAAGGAACTTGAATCTAAACGCATGTTTTCTTTTCTGATTATTGTTTTACTTCACAACTTTTTCTCCAGGTATTTTTTTTGTTGTTTGTTTGCTTGTCGTCTTTCTGTTAAATTTTGATCTTGTTTACCTACATTTAATCACTGTTAAAACACAATTTTATGAATCTAAGTAGGTAAATGTAAATAACCAAAACATTACAGGTTTTGGCATAAAGATGACATTAACATTTGTTTTTTTTCCTATGTATTGTCATCTATTGTTTAAGGCAAAGCATTAACAGGTTATACAGCCATAATATTGTTTTTTTTTTTTTTTAATTACTTTATAATCTTTTATGATTGTGATGTTGTGATATGTACCTGTTATTTTATTTTGTATTGTCAAAGCGTTTAGTTTTTCAATTTGTTTTTCTTTTTAAAGTACATTTATATTTATTTATTTTTGCAAATCTCATTTTACCTCAATCTGTTAGTGTACAAGTTTTGTTTTTTTTTTTTTCGTATTTCAACCGGCAGGTGGAGTTTGTAACTTATAAGTTATTAGTTCAGTCTTTTGTTTTATATATATATTTTTGTTCATAGATATTTATATATATATTGAGTATACATACATTTTATCAATATTATTATCATGTCAAATGTAAGTACAAACAGTGACAATGAGCCTTATTTCTCATTATCGTCTGACGAGTGCAATAGTTCCAATAACAGTTTTAGTAGTATTCCGTCTCTTTCTGATGTTCTTGAAAATCAATTTTCTGATGTTGCGAAGAATTTTAACGCCATCCATATCAACGCCCAAAGTATTCCGGCTCATTATTCTGACATGCTGGCGTCACTTAACCACTCAAACCTACATGCAGTTTTAATCTCAGAGTCATGGTTGAAACCAAGTCTACCGTCCTCTTCATATGTATTGCCTGGCTTTCGTCTTATACGAAATGACCGCATTGGGTCAGGGGGTGGTGGAGTTGCTATTTACCTACGTGAACATATTTCCTACACTGTTATTAGCACTTCAGTTCAACCGCCTCCTTCTAATGCTGGTGAACATCTACTGGTGGAGATTCTTCTATCACACACAAAGATTCTTCTCGGAGTTTATTATTGTCCTTCATTAAATATTAACTATTTTACTTCTTTTGAAACCCTGTTGGACACTTTTGCACCCTCTTACAGCCATACAATTATAATGGGTGACTTTAATACTTGTCTCCTCAAAAATGATCACCGTACTTTATCTCTCCAATCTTTAGTTAGTGCTAGCAACATGCATACTCTTCCACTTAGTGCCACCCACCATTACCCAAATTGTATCCCAACTCTTCTCGATTTAATAATTGTATCTACACCCCAGTATGTTGCTAAGCATGGTCAATGTTCGGCTGACGCCTTTTCTTACCATGATCTTATCTACTTGTCCTATAAAATTCGTCCTCCTAAGGCTAAGCCTAAAATTATTCTTCAGCGTAATTTTAGTGGCATGAATCGTGAAGCGTTTCTTCTAGACGCTACTGATATTGATTGGTCGCCTGTATTTTCTGCAACAACTGTGGATGAGCAGGTGGCCAATTTTAATACATTGGTCATAAAATTATATGACAAGCATGCACCTTTTCGACCCGTTAAATTAAAGCATATTCCTGCACCCTGGCTTACGGATGATATAAAATTATTAATGCACAAAAAAGCTTCTGCTAAAAGTAGGTATAAATGTCGGCCAAGTGATCATAACAAAGAAACTTATATCAAAATTCGTAATCGCTGCAATAAGGTGTGTAGGGATGCATTACGTCGTCACATTCACAATTCTGTCAGTATTGAAGACTCTCCAAAAGTCTGGAAATTTCTAAGATCGCTCGGTATTGGAAAATCTAGGGAGGACTCTGGTGCTCCTAATATTAACTTAGATTCTCTAAATACTCATTTCACTTCTTCTGCTGGTATTAATACTGCTGTTAAAATTAACACCCTTAGTCAACTTTCAACCAGACCAATACCGAACTTCTCTCCCTTTGTTTTTGTTCAATTAACGGATTGTGATGTTAAGACGAGCTTACTTTCTGCTACTTCTAATGCTATAGGTAGCGACGGCATAAGTCGTAATA